TCAAAGTCCACCATAACTACTCCTGGTGCCAATGGCTGATGTCCAGGAGAGTGAGCCAGACATCTGGCTGTCCTGTCCACAGTTCACGCCAAGGCTTTGCCTAGAGTCCTGTGAGGGAGGGGAGAAGGAAGAAAAAGGAAAGAGCCTGGGAAAGCAGAGGCCGTGGGGCTGGGGCCGGGGTGGCTGGTGTCATTGGTATTCTGGCTGCAGAGGAGTGCCTGTCAGCTGGGCAACACTCAGGGCAACCCCTGGCACCAGGCGGCATATTCAGCAGCCACAGCCCTGGCTGGGACGCTCACCGGGCTCCCAGCAACGCCTGCATTTTGCACATTGGTTTGCATGCCCTCTCACCAAGTCACCGCACCAGTCCCCATAGAGAACACTTGGTTTTCTTTGCTTAACCCATGATTCTGCGGTCTAACCTCCATCCCTCCAGCTGCAAAGTCAGCTCCTCCTCCAGCAGGGAGTGGGAGCACCACGGGAAACAAAAATCCAATCACAGCGTCCACAGGAAGGTGGCTGCAGTCGTGTGCACCTCATCCAAGCCTCAAAAAAGAGCTCCCCATTTGCATGGGGGATGGGGTGGGCCGTGTGTAGCTCTTTCCAAAAGCAAAGCTTCGGGTCCGTCAGCCTTTTATCCTCTTCCTTACTAAGTTCGAGACCCTCCTCCCCTGCTGTGACCAATGGGAAGTCCATCCGGGTGTCTAACTTCAATCTCTCCAGCTGCAGCTTCATTTTCCAGCGTTCCCTCCGGTCCCTGCTGCCTCCCTTCCTACTCCAGGTCCTCGCTTCTCATCCCTGGAAGGATGTCCTACTTCGCTTGCCCTTGCCCTCTCCGCTGCCGCCGGGAACCGACTCAGAAGAGGCAGCCGGTCCCGTGACCGTCCTGAGCCCCCCGTGTTCGGGGCCAGGGGGCGGAGAGGCAGGGGCAGGGCGGGGCGGGGCGGGGGAAGAAAGGGGGTTTTGTGAGGCGCCCGGCGGGCCGGCGCCCTCTTCTGCGCGCCCAGGAACCGGGCCGGTTCTCGCGCCCGCGCAGTCTTAGCCGCAGTCTCAGCCGTGGCCAGGAAGAGTTGCGAAACAGAGGAGACCCCGGGCCAGCGGGGAACTTTGCAGCTCCACCCACGACCCCTGCGCTTGCTCGCTCTGCAGGTGAGTACCTGGCCATGGCCGGGAGGGGAGCGGGAGCCCGGCCCTGCGGCAAGCACCCAGCCTCCTTCTCAGCCTGCCGCGGCTGCAGACGCACTTGTGCACACGCTCTCGCACTCCCCGGGCGCTGCGGGAGGTCTGGTTTGCAGCCCCCGCAGGTTGGGAACGCCCCCTCGGGCCTTGAGTCTGCCCGGCTACGCGCTTCAGTCCCCAGGCAGCTGCCTAAGAGGATTCCCGACCTTGCATCATGCAGGGGAGCAGCCACCCAGGAGCAGCGCCGGGAGCCCTGCGACCCTTCCCGGGCACCTGGTGCAGCTCGCACGAAGCCCTAAGAGCAGAGGAGGGCAGCTGAGCCGGCCCGAGCTGGAACCCCAACTCTGCCACTTATTTCTGTGCGACCTTGGGCTTGCTAGTTGGTCTCCTTGCGCCTCAGCTCCCATCCTATAAACAGGGAGAAACACTGGGCGGTTTTTCGCAGCGGGAGTCTCAGCTGGAGTTGGGCTTTGCAGGGCTAAAAGCTTCTCCCTGGGTAGTCCACACCCCCTGCCATCATAGTAGCTCTGCCCACACGGTTCTAAAAGGACTAAAAGACTGGCCTCGCTTTTCTGTGCACCCTTATTATATGCATCACTTACATTTCAGCTAACACCACTCGCATCAGGGAACAGTGCCTTCCATAGACCCATCCACTGTGGTGCCAGGACTGTAGTGTTATGGCCAGCTTGGCTGCTGAGAAGCCCATAGTTCACAGTTCAGATTTTATACCAGCAGGAGCTGAACAGCTCTGCTGGGGATGTTGCTCATAGTATTATTAGTTGTGCTTCCAATAAATAGCACTATTTATGGGATTGCTGCAATTATTCCTGCCAGCCCCAAGGCGTCCCTGGGACTGTGGGTTCTTGTTGGGCCCTCCTGAGGGGAGTTGCTGAGCTCCCTGCTGAGCCTGGAGCTCAGGTCCTGCACAGCAGATCTGGGGCTGCCAGCTGGTGGGCACTGGGCATGGAACTGGTGGGTGTTAGGGAAGGCACCACACATGGCCTGGTCCTGACTCTCTGGATATCAGTCTGAGAAGCCTATGAGGGAGATGACAGGAATGATAATGTAACAAGAGGAAAGTTCCTGAAACGCTTGAGAAGATCACGACAAGGGCAAGAATCCAGAGGCTGAAGCAGGATGGGGAGTTGGAGAGAGGGAAGGAGTAGGCAGGGGAAGGGGTGCCTGCTTAGCACTGAGGTTATGGGAGAGGCTCTGGATGAATAAAAGGGAGGAGGTGGGCTGGGTGTGGGTGGCAGGCCAGGGCCCAGAGCCCCTGTGCTCCCTGCCAGGGAGCCTCCTCAGAGCTGCTCATTGTGCCAGCACGGAATGAGGCCCCGCACGACTATGGGGAAAGGAAAGAGCCACCCAGGGCTCCCTTAGTACCCTGTGGTCAGTGACCCCTGCTCTTAGAGGAACATGCAATGTCCTGTATATTCTCTGAGTGGCCAAGCCCTCGATGGTCACCAGCTGTCGAGGCAGAAGTGAAAGGGTGGTACAAGCTGCGGGTCAGCCCAGAGAGGCTCCAGTTCACAGGTTCCTGTGCCGCCTGTTGGGGAGCCAGGCTGGTGAGGGCTTCAGCTGCAACCCTGTAGGGTGGGAGGGCACCAAGCCTGGGTCCTATCCCAGCTCAGCTGCATGGCAGCAAGTATTTTCCCTGATACTAGCCACTCATGCCAAGTGGTTTCTGCCCTCAGAGACAATAGTCCTCTCAAGGGCTCCAGCCTGGAGTTGGCCTTGGGACCCTCTTATCTGACCCTGGTCTTCTCTCTCAGACCCAAACGAGGCCTTAATCACTGGCTCTCCCTCTTTCCCCAGCTTTGACTTGAACCAACTATGCTCAGGGCAGAGGGGAAGTGGAGGGGTGCCAGCATAGCCTGGCCGGGAGGATCTGGGAGAAGAAGGGTTTCCTCATTGGTTCAGGCTCAGGAAAAAGGGGCCATGTGTGAAACAGCCTGAGAGGGCAGGGGAGATGGATGTGGAACAACAGGCCCAGAGTGGGAGTGGGTACTCAGTGGGAAAAGTGATCTATAGGATGTCCTGTCTGTAGTCTAACCTTTATCCCTCCTGCTGTATCACTGGCCTCTTCCAGGGCAGGCTGGCACCCCCATATTCTTTTCCCCCCATATTCTTCTAACTCTGAAAATGATGTTGTCACTAGCTTTGCAACCTGAGGGCACAGTGGCGGGGTGTCTAATCTGCTCTTGTGGTGAACCCAGGGTCAGCCCTATCCTTCTTTGGAGGGGGATATTAGTCTCCATTCCTCAATGCTGCCCCACCTCTCTTATGAAAGGAAGAGTGCTTTGAGCTCTTGAGCAGACTGTTCTTCCAGGTTCTAGAGCTTCTAATTGCCAGGGGCAGGAGGGGGTGCTCCTTAAGCCCAGGCCCTTCACAGAAGGTAGGATGGGGGAGGGGGACATCTGGATGGAGGCCAGCCTGGCAGAGACAGGGGCTTTGTCCCAGCTGGTTTCTGAGCCAGGAGATCCGGTGGGAAAGCCCGTGCCAGGCAGAAAGGAATGGCTGGAAGAGGAAAGGAGGGGTAGCCAAGGAAGGGGTGAGGAGGACAGGCTGAAAAGAGAAGAGTTTCCTTACGAGCCATGGTGGGAGGAGATAAGGACAACATAGCCTGAGGATAAATTGTGCATTGCCTGGTTTCAGTCTAGGGTCCCTCCTGGAGGAGTCCAGTGTGTGGTGCCCAGAGGAAGAGAGGGGCAGACAAGGTTGGACGGTGACTACAGGAGGGGGGGCACTGGGAAGGTGCCTGGCACTGGGGGAGCAGGGGACTCCTCAGTTGTCCCTCGATGTGTGTGGGGCTTTGGTTCTAGGAGTTCCAGTGGATGCCAAAATTTGCAGATGTTCAAGTCCCCTGTGTAAAATGGTGCAGTATTTGCACAGAACTTGTATGCAGCTCTGAATTTTTTTTTTTTTTTTT